ATTCGCGGACCTGATGATGTTTGTGTTGACCTTTATACACACATTTTTAACGTTTCCTGTGCTTTATTGTATAGAAGTTAGGGTATCGTTCTGATTCTTACAACCGGGACGGATTCAGCAAATATTCACGTGGTTAAGTTGTCCAGATCACCGAACATAACTTGCTACTACAAGCATGACCATTATGAAGACTCCAAACTTGAAACAAAACGTTTCGACTATCAACAATTGTTTCGACTGTACATTTACTCAGACGAAGCATGATTTTTTAGAACTACTGTAGAAGGGAAATATCGATGCGTCTCTATAAGAGAGAAAACATAGAGAATTTCTCCAGAGGCTTCAGATTAAACGGTTACTCTGCTTTGTAAACTGCAAACTTTGATGTCAACAAAGAAGTAAATGAAACACGTTTCGTGATGAGATAGTCTTGTTCATAAGCCACCAGTAATTCCTAATGACGCAGAAATTAGCGATGTTATTCCCTATGTACACTGAATATCTCGAACCATTGATTTCAACCCCGTAGGCGACCCTTGTCATTGAGCCTCATTATTTTACGACAGAATCTTTTTCATCTCTAACATATTCGTATATATCTAATTATTACGTAAGAGTTTTACTGTGGAAATATTTGTGAATCAGCTGTTATCTACACGTGAACATCCGCTTTGTTTTTTTATATTTCTGCGCGTCTAATTTAAATCACAACATCGGGTAAGGTAATTTAATTTTATAATAAAGAAATTATCTCTTATGAACCTGTTAGATACTTCAGTGGTTATGTTGATTTGTACAGACAACTGTTTGGTTTTTTTAAACTTGCATCCAGTTGGGTACATATGAAAAAGATTACTAGCTGGAGATAGGAAGAGTCTCTCTTTGACAACTATTTGGTGCTCTGTTGCTTCTCTTTGTGGGCGCCGCCATCTTTGTATAGGAGATATACCACGCTATGTTGAAGGCTGCATTGCAGTCTGGATGAGGTGGAAACAATCTGAGACGTTTACTTAAGACTGATACAAATTTGCAAACACGTGGTAACGGGGAAAGCTGAATTAGATAATTTCAATTAGATAAGCTGAGACAGAAATTGTAAACAAGAGAGAGAAAAGTAATATATACCTTATGTATACATATACTACCTCACTCTAGGTAAGTAAAATACTAGTATTTGTACCACGTGCATCAGGAACGCCCCGTTTTATCATTAATTATGGCGGGAATACAGACGAGCCGCCTCGTATAAATAAACATTAAATGTAGTGTCTGTTATCTAGATCAGTTCTAGAGTTGTAAAAGCAATAAAATATGTCTAAAGTTTTCAAAGACTTAACAAATTTGATTAAAACCCTTTGAGACTAATGGTGGCAGTTGTAGGAGCTAAAACCTTCTGTTGCTTTTGTTTATCAATATTTATAGATAGAGGTAAACTAAGGTGGTCGGATTCCGATTGCTTTACCTTATACTTCACATCAGTATAGACGATCTATCGAGCGATGACAAGTTTACTTCTGCGAGTACTGTAACGTCGATTCAACGCCTTTTTTGATTTACCAGAGTTATTACCCTTCTTTTAACTCTCTCAGTGTGGTACAGCAATAAAATGCAATCTCTCCCAGAGTGCACTGCGGTACCCAAATAACACTGTATTGTGACTGTTAATGAACGACAACTCTGGTAGAGATTGAGGTGTATTGTGACTGTTAATGAACGACAACTCTGGTAGAGATTGAGGTGTATTGTGACTGTTAATGAACGACAACTCTGGTAGAGATTGAGGTGTATTGTGACTGTTGAGGAACAACAACTCTGGTAGAGATTGAGGTGTATTGTGACTGTTAATGAACGACAACTCTGGTAGAGATTGAGGTGTATTGTGACTGTTGAGGAACAACAACTCTGGTAGAGATTGAGGTGTATTGTGACTGTTAATGAACGACAACTCTGGTAGAGATTGAGGTGTATTGTGACTGTTAATGAACGACAACTCTGATAGAGATTGAGGTATATTGTGACTGTTAATGAACGACAACTCTGGTAGAGATTGAGGTGTATTGTGACTGTTAATGAACGACAACTCTGGTAGGGATTGAGGTGTATTGTGATTGTTCAGGAACGACAACTCTGGTAGAGATTGAGGTGTATTGTGACTGTTAATGAACGACAACTCTGGTAGGGATTGAGGTGTATTGTGATTGTTCAGGAACGACAACTCTGGTAGAGATTGAGGTGTATTGTGACTGTTAAGGAACGACAACTCTGGTAGAGATTGAGGTGTATTGTGACTGTTAATGAACGACAACTCTGGTAGAGATTGAGGTGTATTGTGACTGTTAATGAACGACAACTCTGGTAGAGATTGAGGTGTATTGTGACTGTTAATGAACGACAACTCTGGTAGAGATTGAGGTGTATTGTGACTGTTAAGGAACGACAACTCTGGTAGAGATTGAGGTGTATTGTGACTGTTAAGGAACGACAACTCTGGTAGAGATTGAGGTGTATTGTGACTGTTAATGAACGACAACTCTGGTAGAGATTGAGGTGTATTGTGACTGTTAATGAACGACAACTCTGATAGAGATTGAGGTGTATTGTGACTGTTAATGAACGACAACTCTGGTAGAGATTGAGGTGTATTGTGACTGTTAATGAACGACAACTCTGGTAGAGATTGAGGTGTATTGTGACTGTTAATGAACGACAACTCTGGTAGAGATTGAGGTGTATTGTGACTGTTGAGGAACAACAACTCTGGTAGAGATTGAGGTGTATTGTTACTGTTAATGAACGACAACTCTGATAGAGATTGAGGTGTATTGTGACTGTTAAACAACAACTCTGGTAGAGATTGAGGTGTATTGTGACTGTTAATGAACGACAACTCTGGTAGAGATTGAGGTGTATTGTGACTGTTAATGAACGACAACTCTGATAGAGATTGAGGTATATTGTGACTGTTAATGAACGACAACTCTGATAGAGATTGAGGTGTATTGTGACTGTTAATGAACGACAACTCTGGCAGGGATTGAGGTGTATTGTGATTGTTCAGGAACGACGACTCTGATAGGGATTGAGGTGTATTGTGACTGTTAAGGAACGACAACTCTGGTAGAGATTGAGGTGTATTGTGACTGTTAATGAACGACGACTCTGATAGGGATTGAGGTGTATTGTGACTGTTAATGAACGACAACTCTGGTAGAGATTGAGGTGTATTGTGACTGTTAATGAACGACAACTCTGGTAGAGATTGAGGTGTATTGTGACTGTTAATGAACGACAACTCTGGTAGAGATTGAGGTGTATTGTGACTGTTAAGGAACGACAACTCTGATAGAGATTGAGGTGTATTGTGACTGTTAATGAACGACAACTCTGGTAGAGATTGAGGTGTATTGTGACTGTTAATGAACGACAACTCTGGTAGAGATTGAGGTGTATTGTGACTGTTAATGAACGACAACTCTGGTAGAGATTGAGGTGTATTGTGACTGTTAATGAACGACAACTCTGGTAGAGATTGAGGTGTATTGTGACTGTTAATGAACGACAACTCTGGTAGAGATTGAGGTGTATTGTGACTGTTAATGAACGACAACTCTGGTAGAGATTGAGGTGTATTGTGACTGTTGAGGAACAACAACTCTGGTAGAGATTGAGGTGTATTGTGACTGTTAATGAACGACAACTCTGATAGAGATTGAGGTGTATTGTGACTGTTGAGGAACAACAACTCTGGTAGAGATTGAGGTGTATTGTGACTGTTAATGAACGACAACTCTGGTAGAGATTGAGGTGTATTGTGACTGTTAATGAACGACAACTCTGGTAGAGATTGAGGTGTATTGTGACTGTTAATGAACGACAACTCTGATAGAGATTGAGGTGTATTGTGACTGTTAATGAACGACAACTCTGGCAGGGATTGAGGTGTATTGTGATTGTTCAGGAACGACGACTCTGATAGGGATTGAGGTGTATTGTGACTGTTAAGGAACGACAACTCTGGTAGAGATTGAGGTGTATTGTGACTGTTAATGAACGACAACTCTGATAGAGATTGAGGTGTATTGTGACTGTTAATGAACGACAACTCTGGTAGAGATTGAGGTGTATTGTGACTGTTAATGAACGACAACTCTGGTAGAGATTGAGGTGTATTGTGACTGTTAATGAACGACAACTCTGGTAGAGATTGAGGTGTATTGTGACTGTTAATGAACGACAACTCTGGTAGAGATTGAGGTGTATTGTGACTGTTAATGAACGACAACTCTGGTAGAGATTGAGGTGTATTGTGACTGTTAATGAACGACAACTCTGGTAGAGATTGAGGTGTATTGTGACTGTTAATGAACGACAACTCTGGTAGAGATTGAGGTGTATTGTGACTGTTAATGAACGACAACTCTGGTAGAGATTGAGGTGTATTGTGACTGTTAATGAACGACAACTCTGGTAGAGATTGAGGTGTATTGTGACTGTTAATGAACGACAACTCTGGTAGAGATTGAGGTGTATTGTGTCTGTTAATGAACGACAACTCTGGTAGAGATTGAGGTGTATTGTGACTGTTAATGAACGACAACTCTGGTAGAGATTGAGGTGTATTGTGACTGTTGAGGAACAACAACTCTGGTAGAGATTGAGGTGTATTGTGACTGTTAATGAACGACGACTCTGATAGAGATTGAGGTGTATTGTGACTGTTAATGAACGACAACTCTGGTAGAGATTGAGGTGTATTGTGACTGTTGAGGAACAACAACTCTGGTAGAGATTGAGGTGTATTGTGACTGTTAATGAACGACGACTCTGATAGAGATTGAGGTGTATTGTGACTGTTAATGAACGACAACTCTAGTAGAGAATATGATAGCCTGATCAGTAGACGATGTATCAGTTATAATTTACTGTTTTAATAACTAATTAAGTTTTCTTCTCTTTCACAGGTGATGACGACGATGGCGATTTAGACAAAAACATTTGACATGGTGTCATTTAGTACGGTAACCATCGTTCGCGCGATTTCTGTCCGTCTGCTCTTCACGTGCCACGGCCTAGTATCAATATGGCGGCTGTACTACGTCACACACGACACCAGGTTTTGGTATCTGGGACTGGCCATGGCTTTTCTGCTCATGGAGACGTCTGTCACTCTGGTGAAGAATCGCGGTAAAGAGTGGAAATGGTCAGTTTTTTCAAGTTTAAGAAAATCACACGACACAAGTAGTGGTTACCATTTCCCCATCATGAATAGTTGCTTAACAATTTTGTGTTTATAGTAAACAAGATGAAACTAGTACATGTGACCCGCAATTGGGTCTCCCTATAAGAGTAGCATTGATCCTCCCTCGTAATAGTTGCGCTTTGATACAACCTTACTTTCTTCATACTATAGTGAGGTAGGATACACCCTTAAGTCTTTATATCATAATATACAGGTACAACGGTATAAATCACCATTAAGCCAGCATGTCACTGTAAAATTGCAAACCTTAAACAACCTTGTTATTGTAAGATGGCAATCTACATTAATGTAAGGTTGCACACACCCTTAAGTCTTCATGTTACAACGATGTAGCGTACATGTATATTATATCTCCGGGTCACAGGAAGGTAGCGTACAGCCAGAAGTCTCGATACCTCAATAAGGTAGTATGTATCAAGTCTCCGTGTCTCGGAAAGATAGCATACATCCTTAAGTCTACATTAAGTTTGAATACCGGTCTTACATGAATCCAAATCGTCATAGTGATATACATGAAGTAAGTATATTTAAGTCTCAATGTCACATTCATATAATCATAAATCCCTTAAGTTTCCATGTCATAGTAACATACCTTACATACAAGCATCGTCCCTTGCATTATCTTGGTAAGACAGTTAGAATAAACTACTGGCATTTAGCTTTACTCAAAATCTCCCTTTCTCCCTCCATTCAGAAGAGTGTTCCCGATAAAAAGTACCGAAAATACCTAGGCATTACACAAAGTATATTAACTTTCGTTTCTGTATCGTTGTCCAGTCTATCGAACATCTTTTGACTTCTGTTTTAGTTGAAAGATGAAAAAGATACAATAATACGTGATCAAACGTTGAAGATACATGTAGAAATGTATCAGATTGAAAGACTTTTGAATCAATGTATTTACCAGAACTATCATCGCAATTCTCGGGCGCCTAGCTAAACAACACATCACACACAAGGCCTACGTCATATATAGGGAGATGTTCCTTGCAGTATGGATGAATTTTGTTCAAGAGTTTTTCAGAAGTTGATCTGGTGTTTTAAATCAAGTATACCGGACAATGGGTGGGGGTGTCTATGATGTCCACACACATTACACGGCACCAGTGTATCACTGCAATCTCTAAATCCCGTGAGCAAAATGTCAATTTTATGAAAAATTGTCAAAGAAGTTGTTTTTAATGTTTCAGAGCAACTTGTACTCGTGAAGTGAAGGTTGATCGATAATCACTTTTACTTACACGTCATAGTTAGTCCATTGCGCCACAAAATTAGTACAAAACTGCCAATTTCGTACTTCAAGAATGCTTCCGTTTCAATAATGGCAATCGGAAATTAAAATCAAGCTTATGTTCATATGTTTCCTGTATCTAAAATAGAGAATATGACGTTACAATCAATGTTTGTTCAATGTTTTCTAGTTATTAGCTAGAAATGATTATAGTTACAATACATGTACGTTTGAATAACAATTATTGTTTAGAATGCGGACCCGTCTCGTTTCTATTGGATCAATTAACTTCGCAAGAATCCTTATAAATGATATTCAATTGCTGTTGTCAAAACTTCACTCTGATACAATTTTGGCAAGATCTCTTTGCCTCTTTCCAACAGGTTCTGTCCAAGTGTGTTTATATATCTCGTCAGTACGGTCCCATCCATTTGGTTTCTCGAATTGCACGAGATGGAAAAACGGATATCTACCACTAATACCAGTCGTGGACACCCCCAAAACGATTCTCTTGAGGACCTTAGCGCTGAACTTGGAAATGTGCTTGGTGTAAGTACTAGTTTTGGTATTACATTTTCCAGGTTTTACAGAAGCATTCAACAGCAAATTTTATTAATGAAGAATTTAATGATAGTTTTTCATGTAATTATTATCAAACACTTTGACGTTATTTGGTATATGACGTTATTCTGGTATTTGACCTTATTCTGGTATTTGACCTTATTCTGATATTTGACGTTATTCCGGTATTTGACGTTATTCTGGTATTTGACGTTATTCTGGTATTTGACGTTATTCCGGTATTTGACGTTATTCCGGTATTGACGTTATTCCGGTATTTGACGTTATTCTGGTATATGACGTTATTCCGGTATTTGACGTTATTCCGGTATATGACGTTATTCCGGTATTGACGTTATTCCGGTATTTTACATTATTCTGGTATATGACGTTATTCCGGTATTTGACGTTATTCCGGTATTTGACGTTATTCTGGTATTTGGCGTCATTCCGGTATTTTACATTATTCTGGTATTTGACGTTATTCCGATATTTGACATTATTCTGATATTTGACGTTATTCTGGTATTTGACATTATTCTGATATTTGACGTTGTTCTGGTATTTGGCGTTATTCCGGTATTTTACATTATTCTGGTATTTGACGTTATTCCGGTATTTGACATTATTCTGATATTTCCGGTATTTGACATTATTCTGATATTTGACGTTATTCTGATATTTGACGTTATTCTGGTATTTGGCGTTATTCCGGTATTTTACATTATTCTTGTATTTGACGTTATTCCGGTATTTGACATTATTCTGATATTTGACGTTATTCTGATATTTGGCGTTATTCTGGTATTTGGCGTTATTCCGGTATTTTACATTATTCTTGTATTTGACGTTATAACGGTATTTGACATTATTCTGATATTTGACGTTATTCTGATATTTGACGTTATTCCGGTATTTGACATTATTCTGATATTTGGCGTTATTCCGGTATTTTACATTATTCTGGTATTTGACATTATTCTGATATTTGACGTTATTCCGGTATTTGACATTATTCTGATATTTGACATTATTATGGTATTTGGCGTTTTTCCGGTATTTTACATTATTCTGGTATTTGACGTTATTCCGGTATTTGACATTATTCTGATATTTGACGTTATTCCGGTATTTGGCGTTATTCCGGTATATGACGTTATTCCGGTATATGACGTTATTCCGGTATTTTACATTATTCTGGTATTTGACGTTCTTCCGGTATTTGACATTATTCTGGTATTTGACGTTATTCTGGTATTTGACATTATTCTGATATTTGACGTTATTCTGGTATTTGGCGTTATTCCGGTATTTTACATTATTCTGGTATTTGACGTTATTCCGGTATTTGACATTATTCTGATATTTGACGTTATTCTGATATTTGACGTTATTCCGGTATTTGACATTATTGGCGTTATTCCGGTATTTTACATTATTCTGGTATTTGACGTTATTCTGATATTTGACGTTATTCCGGTATTTGACATTATTCTGATATTTGACATTATTCTGGTATTTGGCGTTATTCAGGTATTTGACGTTATTCCGGTATTTGGCGTTATTCTGGTATTTGACGTTATTGAGGTATTTGATGTTATTCCTGTATTTGACGTTATTCCGGTATATGACGTTATTCCGGTATTTGACGTTATTCTGGTATATGACGTTATATCGGTATTTGACGTTATTCCGGTATTTGACGTTATTCTGGTATTTGACGTTATTCTGGTATTTGACGTTATTCTGGTATTTGACGTTATTCTGATATTTGACGTTATTCCGGTATTTGACATTATTGGCGTTATTCCGGTATTTTACATTATTCTGGTATTTGACGTTATTCTGATATTTGACGTTATTCCGGTATTTGACATTATTCTGATATTTGACATTATTCCGGTATTTGGCGTTATTCTGGTATTTGACGTTATTGAGGTATTTGATGTTATTCCTGTATTTGACGTTATTCCGGTATATGACGTTATTCCGGTATTTGACGTTATTCTGGTATATGACGTTATATCGGTATTTGACGTTATTCTGGTATTTGACGTTATTCCGGTATTTGACGTTATTCTGGTATTTGACGTTATTCCGGTATATGACGTTATTCCGGTATATGACGTTTATTTCACGTTATTCTGGTATCCAGTGAGGTGTGACTTTTTTATCACAGATTTTCTCTCAACAGTCTTAAAACAGGTATTGCTCCTTGCGTGCATTGCTCCGACAACATCAAGACACTTGACCTAACAACGTTTATATTTCTATATTGTCAGGTGGGAGGTGGGGGGTCTTGATTGATTAACTCATTAATTACTTGGTGTTAATGTATTACAGAAAACCTTTGAAATTTGTTACAATGTTTTTCATATATTGGGAAAGATGATCAACTATGAGACTGCAGTACTTATACGGGTAAATGAATGTACATAAAATCATATATCAGTAAGCCTCGGATTTCCTTTCAGTAAGTACATATAGTGTCACGTGTCGTAAACCTACATCAGTATGTAGTCCTACAGAAGAACGCCCACGTAGCATGTATAGCGAGGTTCAATATAACCCCATAAACTTGGAACAAGATCTAGATGGTATCGCAATCATTTCGATCAGCATTATACCAAGGTGTCTGGACGAGTCATAAACCCGTTATAAACACGGTAAATCCACCGCCACTACTTTACATTGATATGACATTACGCCAATATAACAGTAACCAGTTTCAGTATTTATTTGTCGTGTCTTTCGTTCCGTCTTTTACTGTGAAAAAGTTGTCAGTTAATTAAAGTGAGAGTCACTGTCAACTTCTCGCCATTATAACGGAATTGTAATTATATTTTTATCCAACCACGGGAAATGACCTTTGAACTCCTTGCCCCTGACCTCGGAATTGTGACCTTTATCTTCGCCCTTACCACGGAGTCATAACCTCTGAACTATCGAGCTTGAGTCACGTTATAGATTTAATAGTGACGATGATTTTATGTAGATAAAACACATGTTGGTGATACGGTGATAAATACAACAAAGATTAAAATATTTGCTTTGTTCAATATCTAATTATAACTCCCTCGACTAGACGGTCCTTAATTGACCTCTATGACAAGTCTGTTTGTATACAGTGACCTCTGTATATAATACAAGTGCCGTTTTGTCTATGAGTTCATACATAGCACTGACACAAACAGAGATTAGATCGAAATATATTTAATACAATTCTTTATTGATAATTAAAACAAGACGTTTGATTAGCAGACTTAACGTGATATTTAAACACAAATCTGGCTTTACTATGACGCTTAATTCTGAATGAGTCGCTTATCAATTGATCGTCGATACGATAAGCAATCAACTAGATAAAGATAGATATATATATATATAATCAATATATCAATTATTTAGTGTCTTGGCAAATAAAGCCAACTATGTTTAACGGAGACGTGGCCAAGCGTATTTAAGACAGTATAATTAATTTCTTGATGATTAAATAGTTACCGTTTCAAATTCTAATCAGACAATAACGCACGTTCTGATAACACAACCAATTAATCATACATGCCTCGTTCAAATGTGATCTGATTTGATAAGTAGGCAAAATTAATGATGTTAGACGGAATACCGGAATTCATTTCTAGATAATGCGGTAAATGTTTAAAGCTTGGATTTCCGGGGATAGTCGAGAATATTTCATTATTAAAATGTACCAAGCGTCATATTATAGAATTATCGAAACTCATAACTTTCTACTATAAATTAATGAAAACAAAACAAACTATATATTTAAACACTTCTTCAGTATGTCGGACATGTACGCTGTTGACAGACTATCCAAACATTAGGGAAATTGATGAATAAATGAAATTAGAAGAGAATCAAAAAAGCAACTAAAACATCTGCGATAGAGATAAACAAACAAACACGCTTCTCAGCATATGAAACAGTCCTCGGTTTTCTTAAATCTATATATTCCTTTCGCCTTTCTGCACTGATGATAGCAAGGGATGTTTCAGTGACCGTAGTACAAAATATGTGAAGACGCATGAAAACTTTGTGCCACATTTCCTTTGCAAGTACCGCGAACAATCGATGGAGTAGGGACATTGGAGTCAAAAATTCAAATAGCGTGTCTATTATATAGCATTGTGAATCGTTATAACTCATAAAAACCAATAGAAGCTATAATTAACGGTTCAGCACAAATACAAAGTCTCCCCTTTAACAACTGTCTATATTTCTGTTTAGACATCCGATTTTACATAAACTAACATTCTATCGATCTGTCCAACGCATGGAAAACAAATGTACTTAGTACTGATGCTACATCCTACGATATCCCGCTGTCGAGGGCTGGAGACATTGACAGCTTCGCTGTTTTAATTTGTCATGTCTGGCATTCTTTCAGGTCCGATTCGAGATCAGGATTCCGATTTTGCTGTCACCGGACCAATGGATCCGTACCTTAGAACAAATCCTCTTGCTCATACTGATCCTGGGGCGGTGGATACTCCCGAAAGGAAAACTCACACATGATCAGCTTTCTCAGTTGTTGTTGGTTTATATCGGCACGGCTGCAGACATCGTCGAATTCTTTGAAGCGTTTAAAGAAGAGGAGGTAAGAATGTTCTTATCAAACAGCTTATTGACACATATTATTCGAACGATGAGATATCCCGCAGTAAATCACCAGCTTTCATTTCCGGTCGACGTTTTTATTAAGCTTTTATGATATGATGGTACTGGGGTATTTGCAGACATGCTGAAATTGCTCGAATGGAAGATATCATCATTCATTTTTTTTAATTCATATTGCAAATCTGGTTTTCCTGAAATACTGGCGGAGCTATCAATCTGAGAGCATGAACATGTATCGATTCGATATAAAGTATAACTTAGCTAATATTGCAATGTAATTTCCTTTCTGAAAGGAAAACGAAACGGTTTACATCATCTTGATTAAAGACGCACTGAAGAGTTTCGTCTTGACGAGAATTCTTCCATTTCGAGACGAAACCTGACACTTTGAATATTTTACGACTTTGACCTATGCTCTATAGTAGTATATTAATCCGGCATCGATATTGATGTCGTCTGAAAATTACATTGGTCAGTTTCAAAATTTTCTTGAAAAAATGCCAAATTGAAAATTCGTGAGCTGATATGATTGTATCTAATCTTATCTAAGATATCTATTAATAATCGATAGGAAATATCGTTGTTTTATAAGACAATACAAAGATACCAAAATGACTTGCAAATCATATGAATGGTCTAAATCGTTTTAACATTGGACTGATCAAACTATAACTAGTGATTAAATAATACGGTGATGTTTCTTTGGAATTTTTGGTTTCTATTTATAGTTTTTGAATCGTAGGTGTTGAACTTATAAAATATTCCTTACTGTTTCTAGCAATTACTTAACATTTTGGGCTGTGTTTATGTAGTTACATATCTTCTTGTAATAACGTATTCTTTATCCTTTTGATCCTAGAATTCTCAAAGGCTTTTTTGTCACCAGGTCCGGTACAACAAGATGTTGTGCATAATCATCCTTGGTTTGTGGTCCCTAAGTCTCATCCAGTTCACGTTGGTACTGACTGCTGCTAAAGCTCGACGAGATCAATCTGGTCTCGTGACCGGAAACGAGAGTGGACGGCGCCCGCGGAGTGGATGTTGCGCCGCAGACGTTTACGGGATCCTCATATCTATTTTGCTGCAAGATCTACCTTTCCTAATTCTTCGACTTTTATTGATTTTTAAGTATAAAGTACTCAGTTATACAAATATGTTTTTCACTTCTAAAAATTCACTTGTCATAGTTCTGTTGCTGTATCGGCTAATTGTGGTTTACATTGAACGTAAGAGCCACAAACCGAATGCAGTAGACCACCGAGAGTATCCGCAGGAAAATTTTGGAAGTCCTCGGGAGGTAATGCCAAGAAGTCACAGCGTCAGCCATAACATACGTCAGAACTGCAGCGACCAGTATCCTGAAGACAAACAGTATCTGATGAAGACGCTGCCTCGAGGTAACAATCAACACGACAACAAACCCAGAATGTACAAACTTCGTCAGGAAAAGTACCAATGGGGCAAAGACTATCACTTCGAGCAGGTCGACGGCAGAGTGTAACATTATTCAGATTGTTCCGGATATTATGTCCATACACTACCAATTGTGTTATATATTTACTCAACCTTTACAGTTTAAGATAACGCCTATAAACTCTGCCGAGTTAAAATAAACATTATTAAACAAGTCGTCCGGATATGTCTCCATGACAACAAAAAAGACGAACCTCAGTTATATAAGTTTCTCACGACAGAACCATTGTCAAACTACGGACTTCCGTAAGGATGGTGTTAAGTTAACTGAACTGTCCATGGAAGCCAGTGATCCCGGTGTATATAATATAATGCCATTGACATAATGTCACTGAATCGCCCCTGGAAGCATAGTTGTAAAACAGACGGATCAATCAATCTAACGACGGGTAATGGGAGTAAATTTATCAAAACATCTCTTCTTTATGAATAAATGGATCTGGACCATATTTGGGTGCAGGAAATCCTTTGGCGGAATGTACAGTATCTTTCATAAACCTAGAGCTGTTCACACCTCCGAGGCAGAGGGGAGGGGTTTATTTGTTGAAATAGGAACAAATTTTTCGTCTTTTCTTTGGTAAAGGTTTTCAGAATCAAATTACGTATCTGACGCAAATCCAGAAATAACAATAGTTTTGTTACACTAAACTTGAACTAGATGTTTTGCTGAAAATGTCAGAGATTATTGTTACAATCATAACAGCCCGTCAACACATAAAGGTCATTAGGGCCATCAACCGGTGAAAGAAATGACATATACAGGCCTCATATACCTGTTGTTGATTTATGAACCCAATTAAATGGCTGATATTGAATCTTCGACTCTTCCCGAAAAAGATACAAGTTTTGTAACTTTGAATGTGAGCACATGCGCACGGAAGGAGGATTTCTTGGATTCAAGAAATAGACCAAATTTAGTATAACGCACCGGAAGAGTGGTATCTGCAAAACGGGAGATAACTTTCAAACAATGGCGACAAAAGCATTAGTGTACATCTTTTGTGATGTAAATTGATGTGAAACTTTTAACTCATTTTCTTTTTATTGAATTCCACATTCCATTTAGGTTAACACTGTTCGTTGTTAGATTAAGAAGTATTTGTGCTGTTTTGGTCTTGCTTGTTTCTAATCTTTTTTGCAGATTGAAAATGAGAGTGATGTCGGATAATTCAAAGTCGCAAATTGATACAAAGTCTTATTGGTAACCTTTATAATCAAAGAAAACCAGAGACTGCTGTTGGATGACGCACGATGTCTAAAACTTTTGTCATTATAATTTCGGCTCGTATGTTTTTATTTATCATATGGGATATTAAAAAAATTGAAAAACAAAGCTATAATCAAAAAAATATCAACAAGAAAGCTAAGTACATCAATGTCATGAAGGTGCAAAAGTAGACAAAGAACAGACAATAGTGCCTATATATTTAATTTTCATGTGCGCATATATGTGTGTACTGACAAACTCACAAATACGTTGTGTGTGCAGTCTTATATATATTAATGTTGATTTTGTCGTATACTTTAAAATTCTACGCCTGAACATAAAGGAAAGAATGATAGTTTTCCCCAAGTATAAACATTGCTGAGGGTATGACTTGAATAGTACTTTCTGACCTCCTAGAGTTATCGCCCTTTGTTATCATTCTTCATAATAAGCTTGATATCCGACCGGGGCCGAGAGTGCTTAAGCAATGCATGGTAGGTCACACTTGGTTGATCTTAACATGGATATGAATATTCATAATTATGACGTCATGTGAATACAGATAGATATATATTGTTATGATGGTACGTTCTGTTTGGTATTCAACTGTTCATGATAAATAAATTTTATTGTGATAAACTGTACATTAGATATATAGATAAAATGTACTTATCACACCGTATTGTTATATATCATATTTACATATGTTAATTGTTACATGAAGCATCATACGTACTGATGTCAGAAATATCGTGATGAAACCATCTCCTGTGTATGTGGTATGTTCAATATACAGCTTAAAACACAGGGGCCAGACATTTCAATAGTGTTTTAATGTCACAACATCAATGTATTAAAGTATATAATTGGAGTTTAAAGCTCCCAGATCAAACTTGATCATTAGGTGTTTTCCCTATATTTGTTTTATTATAACCACCGCCTGTTACAGCGCTGGACGCTCCAACAACCGGGGTACTCATATTGACAAACTGTAATATGTTGAACACTGTTTTTTCTTATACCTTTTTCTAAGCATTTCTAGCATACATAGATATAATTTGCATTTCTCTTCTTACAAAAATAATCATCATTTCAATCCTCCGGATAGGTTGCCTTGCAAATAACCTAGGGAGTTCCTGTTCTTATACAAAAATATAAAAGTCGGTACATTTGTTTTCATAATTTTTTTTATATACTAGGTCTTGTTACCATAGCAATACACCTATTCCTGTTACTATAGTAATACCCGCGTTACTGTTATTGTCGTAAAACAATAGTTAATGTAACAGTAGTAAGATACTAGTTTCTGTTACCATAGTAACACACTGTTTACTGTTACCATAGTAGTACACACTACACCAGTTACTAATAAAACACTAGTTACTAATACCATTAGTTACTGTTACTATAGTAACACACTGTTTACTGTTACCATAGTAGTACACTAGTTTCTGTTACCATAGTGATACACCAGTTACTAATACCACACTAGTCACTATTACCGTAGTAAAACACTAGTTACTGTTACCATAGCAATTCACTGTTTACTGTTACCATAGTAGTACACTAGTTACTGTTTTCTAATTTATACCATTACAAGTTACTTTTACTGTAGTAATAAAATAGAAACTGGTACCGTAGTAAAACGCTAGTATTTGCTACCATAGTAATGCACTAGTTACTGTTACCATAGCAGTTCATTAATTACTGTTACCATAGTGATGCACTAGTTACTGTTACCATAGTAGTATACTAGTTACTCTTTGCAAAGAATTATACTAGTTATTGTAACCACAGTAATGCATTAGTAACTGTTAACAATAGTAATTAACTAGTGAATTACCGTAATAACACTAGTTAATGTTACCATAGTAATAAGTTTACCATAGTTTCTCACTAGTTACTGTCACCGTAATATATTGTTATTTTTCTTTAGTTATAAATTGTAACTCTCTCAGTTGCAAGTGTTATAACAATGTGTTGTAAGCATTTAATGACTATAATAAATACTGCATTGATGCCTGCATTCAATGTTTTCCTCTTGTTTGTCAACAACAATGTTCCCATAGCTTACTGGCAGCTGTTAATAGTCTGGTTACCCTGACATGTCGTTGTCTTTCAAAGGACGCCAGTGGTATATGCTCCCAAGGGACCATTGTGTCCTCCGACTTCTGTATCAAATAGGAATCATATATATATTGTTCATATATATTGAACTTATTAAAAACAAACAAATCTCCTTCTATGAGTTATGTGTGAAGTATTCTTAATTCTATAAAGGAATCAGTTTGGTGTGACAAATTGAAGTTCATCACAGATAAATCCATTTTAGTTCAAACGTAATTTATTGTCAAATGGATTGGGCACAAGTTACAAGAATATTATCAACGCTCTTTTTTATTGATATAAATACACACATATATAGCGATGGACGGCTTAATTTTACGTGACACTTTTGCATTTGAGAGAGAGACACACACACACACATTCAGTCAAACCGTTAACATTGGTTTATATAATTTTGAACAAAGTTTTGCAACTTAATATCGGATAACGATATAAGATGTAAGGGTAAAGTTCAATAATCATGAAAAAAATGTAATTGTCTTGTATAAGAAACCAACACAAAGATAGTGATAAAAGTCTCCACGTGGGTTTCCGCATCTACATTCAGCTTAAATTTGCTGTAAGGAAGTCTTTCATGTTTCTCCAATTGAAATGGCATGTTTAATTTACGTTAACGTGTAACATAATTTTGATGTTTTATTTCTGTGCCTGTGTTACTGAAAAATTGCTTAAATGAATTGCGAGTAGGAGAGTTCCTTAAACAGATATCTTTGTAACTCCACATCTTTGTTCATGATGGGAAAAAATTCGCATCCGAAGGCAATACAATGACGTTTTTTGTGGTTGGAGACCATGTTAAAATTAATAGATTTATGTTAACATTTCATTTAACATCTCAAATAATTAACGAATTAATTGTTTCATATTTTAAATTTTTTGCACGTAACAGAAAAATATGTGATATCCCTTGAATTAAAAACATAACATGCCGTCAGGAACATTCGATCTTACCACTGTGCTACCATTACGTTATTGGTTCCATAGACGTTTATTATAGAGTCTGAAATGTCGATGTTTCTTTTAAAAAAAGATTCCTGTATGCCTCTTAACACTTGGCATTTATGTTAATATAATTTACACTTGACACAAGGGACAATTGTCCGGTGTCTTTCGATCACTTTGGATTTGCCTTAGTCGCCTCGTATGCTTTAAAAGTTTAGTGCCTTGATATCACTGACGATGATGCACTTTAATTCATTATTTAGATATAAAATATGTAATTCTTTTTTATCATGGATGTTTTATACTTGTATGTCTTTTGTATAAAGTAGAAACCTACTTGGTAAAAGCTACCAATGACATACATATATAATTTATTAGGTAAAAAATGAACAATTATTGGAAAAACAGACATTTTACATATATGTAGATCTCTTCATGGATATTTAATTACGTTTAAACTGTACACTTCCGTCATGCCGGATACCTGAAAATTTTCTTCATAGGAAAATCCTTCTGGTGTCTTCTATTTTTTTCAACAGATTTTTGTTAAAACGAGAATATATTGCGAAGTGACCTTTTG